GCCAAAATGTATTTTTCACCGTCAATTTTCTTGCCATTCTTTAATGTAATAAGTTGAAACAATCCTATCCTATAACATACTGTGGGGTAAAATTGTGATGTTGATGACGGAAAATGATTACTTGTAGGCTGGTTCTAGCTAGTTGTGAGCGGAAACAGGATTCATCTCAATAGATTGAGTAGCAAATTTATGTACATAATGACATATGTCAACCTCTGTATGGCATACGTTAGATAAATTAAATAAGAAAAATTCTTCCAATGATTTTAAAAGCCTACCTTTTTACATAAATATGTACCCACGTTACAAATTGATAATTGCGTGTGCATTGTCGATAGAACGCTCTTTAGGTTGGATCAACTGTCATCATTCTAAGATTTCTTCTAAGTTTCTTCTATTTTTTCATCAACCTTGGTTTAGAGCTCAAGCTCTGATTTTTTTACAAATGAGCCAAGAAGAAACCTTAAGCACGTAACGCGCCCGCCCGTGCCTGGAGAGATGCAGACAATGATAGGATTGCGGTCTCTAGTGGCTTAACCCAACAGAAACAACTCGTGTGGGACAGATTTCCAAGAAGGTAAAAATGTACAGACATTAGAATTCTCCATTTGCAGAGAGATAAAGGCTTGGGTGCCGTATTCCAACACCTAAGTTAAAGTCATTTGTTTGTCGCCTTTCGTCACCTTTTGACATTTTGTGATCTCAAGCTGATTATCCTCCGCAAACTTGCCTATAATGCTCGGTGGACTGTAGTTTTAAATCACCCTCTTGTCATACGACCCCTGGGGAGTAAATTAGCAGCAGCACTTAAACAATACAAAAGCTACAAATCCCCCGGCTGATCCGACTGTGAAAAATAATTGATTCATGTTTGAAGGTTTCTCCACGGTGAAGTTTTTAACGGGCTTTACGATTTGAGCCAAACATGAAAGGGTTGAGCGTGTGGATATCAAAGGCGCACATTTCTCAACAGGTGCTGGAACTGTGCAGATTTCCGCCCTTCCTCTACACCTATTTGATGCCTGCTTGCTAGACTAAAGCATGCAAACGTCAGCGGTGTTGAAAAGCTTAAGTGAACGATGCTTTTGCTTTAAGATTGACCTTAAGTTTCCGTCGGTCAGTCTAAGAGGAACAGACGTTTTCTTTTCTTCTGACACTAAACTGTGCTCAACAGGATTTTCGGTAGTGACACGTAAGTCTAGGCATTGGTATCATCAAGGGATGGGTAAGATATTTTACCTCCTTTGCCTCACTTTGCGAATACAATGGCCTTTTCTGAGTGACTGGAGCTGCTATGGTAACGTTTGGTAAGTGATTTCGTACTTGACAGGCATTGAATAAAGATCGTAATTTCCATTTCTTGGAAAGGACAATTTCTTCCTTTAGCTTAGGCCACAGCAAGTATATGGATGACATCAGCGCGCGCATTAATTTTTGCCTGATAATGGAAAAAAATTGTTGTCCTCCGACAGTGGTCAACATGCCGAAAATGGGCAAAGATGTCTGTTGCCGTGTCGGAACATGGATAACAGATAAATATGAAGAGAGAAGACAAGAGCTCTGATTTATTGTTTTGTCTTTTACTTTCATGCAGTGAAGGCAGTGCATATGTGATGTTTCTGCTGAATCAAAACCAATGTTGTACAATGATTGAAAACTTTTATCTTTCAAAGTTGTTTCAGTGACAAATGAATGTTGTAATAGCTGGCACAATGTTGGTATCACTTCTTGTTTACTTGTATGATGCTGAAATTTTAAAATATAGGAGTCTTGTTTATTGGCCAGCTTTGTTTTTTTTCGCCCTATCGCATAAGATTTGGAGTCTGCGGAGGATGTCATCCATAAAATTTACTTGCTTACCTCACATCCGTGCGGCTGTTGCTCTTTTTTCTTTGTGTGGTCCATTTTGCAGTGGCGACGTGAGGAAAGTGTTTAAAGCGGAGTTGCATAAGACTTGGCAGGTAGTTGGGACTTCCCAGAAACAAGAATTCGGAGATCTCAGACCTCCATGGAATATTCTGTTAGTGTGTGATTGTGACTGTGTCCTCTTCTCATTTACCATGGTGTCTAAGTCTTTGTTCATCGTGCAAGGGAAACAACATCAGCTGTCAAGGAGGTCATGTATCGAAAAAAAAACACCTGTGAAAACAGCGAGCGCCACCGGATGTAGACGTGATTAATGACTTTCTCCCTCTGAGACAGACTGAACCAAACCATACCCATTACAACCTAACCTAAGGGCCATGCGGAAACACAGACACACTTACCAAAAGCAATACCTCCATTTTTCATGGAGGTAATTGGAACCACATTCCCTCAAAGTCTGAATGAGTAGAACCAGCTCTGCAACTATCTCCAATGTCATTCGACATGAATTTCACTTAAAGGTTGCAGCAGTCACTGAAGATTTATCCTCAACTGATTTGCGAAAGCATGACACGAAACAATTCAATTTCATGGAAACCTTGTCAAATTTTCAGTTGCGGTAACTTGACAATTAGGTGAATTTCCTTTACAATTATAGATGGCATATGTCGCGTTCTTGCCTACACAGCCAAAAGTTCTGAGCCTTTTTTTTTCTTTGCATAAGAGGCAAACGTTAAAGTAACGGCAACGTTTGGGTTGTTGAACTCTGATATATGTAAGTTCCATTTCCAGTTGTTTAAACAACCAGTCGGGATCTATTTGAATTCTCCATCAATTGCACTTATAAGCTGAAATAAGAAGAGACGTCTACCAACAATAGGCGTTAAGTGCATGGAAGGTGTCTAAGCTCGGGGCAATGTATATAGTACTAAGATGAAGGTACATATATTCCCTCTCTCGTGTGAGTCGGATTTACTATTTAAAGCTGCATTGTGTAACATATACAGAAAGGCAATTGTATGGTCATTTATTTACAAAGTAAGTTGAACCAAACATACTCCCTTGCAACAAAAGTTCCATTTAGGAAATGGAGGTATTGAAATATGACGCCTTGTGGGTGATTTTAAAAGAGGTAAAGACAGCTGTCAGCCATGGCACCACAAACTGAGTGCGCCTGGTGCGGGCTGTTTTGAATTCAGCGCCAACCATAATTGACAAAAAAATGCAGAAGAATTAATTGCACAAATATGTGGAAAAGTGGAAGTAAATCACAAAAGCACACAAAAGCACACAAAAAATAAAGAGACGCTTTGTGGTCTATTTTAAACGCCTCAAGTAGGAAATGATGCCGACATGTGTTAAGAAATGACATTCAATGTCAATATCAGACATGCTTTTCTCATCCAAAATATTTCTTGTTTTGCCGTCCTGAAATTGCATCAGGTGCCTTTAAGAAGACCCCGTTGACAACGGGACTTTCCTCTTGTAGCAAACGCGTCAACAGGACTTAGCGAGGTGATTTCAACGAAAGGCACTTTCCCTTCCCGATGTATTTACCTGCCTTTCAAACATTGTACTTTAATACATGCACGGCTAATCTGTTAATCTCGTCCTCAAGTCAAAAAGCCCTTACCCTAATCCCAGCCAAAGTTTCAGCACTAAGGACAGTCCCTTAAAAATGTAAGAGAACATCAAAAGATACCATATCTCACCACCCATACTTCAAAAACCATCCCCACTATACGCCCACCACACATATACGCGTTTTCCAAGAAATGATATAGCTGTATACGAGGACGCATTTAAACATTTGGAAACTCGTGGGCAATGCCAATGGTACGTATTGACGCCCACACCAATACCCTTCGGGACATGTACTTGGCTTTGATTTTTTTACGCCGATACCAAAATCCCGCTGCCGACAACAGCGGACTAAGAGAGAGTACTGGCACGCCCTGATTGGTTGTATCTTGTCTCTTCTATTCCGAAACTGACCAAAAGTCATCTAACCGCCTTTTTTCTATTCCAAAATGCAATCACAAGACGTGGTGACGGCACACTCAAGTTTTTTTTTCAACTCAAGTTAATGCCGCCACCAACACAGGGGACAATACAGTAATCACTTTCACCTGAGCGAAGTGAAGAAAGCCGTGTAAAGTGCCTTTCCCAAGGGCACAAGATCGGTGGCATGTCAGGACTCGAACCCGGGACCTCTTGGTTCCGAGCCGAGCACTCTGCCGCTACACCACGATACCCGACCAATCGCCAATTTTGCGCGAATAAAAGCATTGAAAATCCTCAGCAATAAGTGATTGACTGCTACCAATGAGTTGTGGTGAAACGCTAGTCGTCAATGATAATTAATTTTTCTGTTAGGGCCACTCTTCCTCGAGCGCTAGCAAGTATAAATTTACGAGGACCGCAAAGGCAGCAAACACAGTTGCAGGTTCCAGGTACTCTTTGTATTGTCTACGAGACCTAATGATGAATTATCTCCGTGTGGAACACTGACTTATAGATCGATAAACTGATTATTAATCTCATTCGCTTAGGTCAGCGATACAATGGGAAAGATAAGTGCAGCTAAACGGCTGTGAGCTATAATATGGCCCAACTGGACATTAGTTTTCCCCGTATGTCGTTTTAGAGGCTTTTTGTGATGTTGTAACTTCGCCTGCTGTTAAAGTCAACGCACATCTTTCTGAGCCAGGTCATCTGATAGCAAAGAAGTGCATGTGTTTGTCTTTACTCATCTAGATTTAGGAAACTTCGGTCTTGCTTCTGTAAGATCCTTCATACGAAAAAAATACATGAATAGATAGCAACCTTTTTTATGTATATATTCCAACATGTTATCACAAGACTTGGTGACGGCACAACCGACTTTTTTTCAACTTAATTGTATTAATACCGCCAACAACATAGAGGGCAATGCAATACTCATCTTCACCTGAGAGAAGTGAGGAAAGTCGTGCAAATTGTCTTTCCCAAGGGCACAAGATCGGTGGCATGTCAGGACTCGAACCCGGGACCTCTTGGTTCCGAGTCGAGCACCCCGCTGTTAAACCACAGGACCCCATACGACAAGCAAACTTTAATGACTGAATGATAAGAAGAAGAGATGTGTTTCCTACCTCGTTGTGCTAGAGATGCCAAAGCCAAAACGAATCTGCTTCTACGGTCATGCGCAGAGGGAGAAGGCCGGCCTCCTTTTTGTTTGTTCCCGTTCTTGTTGTTCCTGTTCCGGTTGCGATTCCGGTTTGGGTTGCGATTCCGGTTCCGGTTGGGATTCCGGTTCTTATTCCTACCCCTGTTTCTTGATCTTGCCCGGCCCTTACCCCTGTTCCGACCCTCTGCAAAAAAGAGAGACGGGCACAGAAAGAGAAGTCTTTTGAGAGAAATACAAAAAACGCGCTTTTGTAACCATAGTAAAAGCTAACACTGTTGCGACATAGTCATATTCCTACACCTTCACGGCCGATTTCACACCAATACTGTGCGATGACAAGGTTGATTCTAACAGATGATACAGAATTACGGCGCTCACGATGCTATCTATGTATACTTTCTTCTCCCAGTCACCGCCGGCAAATAGTTAATCGTGTTATTCCGTCCCCTTTATATCTTATTCATGAGAAGAAAACATCACGTCAAAACCGGAACAAAGATGACAAAACGGGCCCATCGGAAACCTCAACATCTAATAATCTACCTGCTGAATTTAGCCCAATAGACGGGTGGCTCTCGCGCGTAGGGGAAAAGCCTAACGGAAACATAACCGGCATGCGTTATTACCGAATCGTAACGCGTGCCATCTCCTATCTGTACCTAAAGTAAATAAGACGAATCTGCGTCATCACAACACTACTGAGATGGCAGTTCTGGATCTCAGCCCGATCTACTAGTATTCTATCACAAGTTTTGACGCTGTCGTGACACAGAGAGTAGCCTTCAATGCTGTTTGCAATTTTTGTGAGCATCCAGACATGTATGAATCCTGTACATGAGAACTGACAGTTTCATTCCATCGCATCACAAGTCATTTTGAATTGCGATATCAATATCACATATGTTAGTGCTACAACTAGATCAGGAAATATGATAAGTGGGTCATGCTAGAGAAGAGAGATGAGAGGCCTTACTCTGTTTGGGGGGTCGATATGGCCTTCGTCTGCCGGGCGTCCTTTCTGAAACCGCCTCTGGGTCCGCATCACCGCTGGACAGAATGTCATCTTGTCTCTTAAAAAGTTCGGATAGATCCGTCTCTGGTTCAAAAGGCAAGTCTAAGAGGACGGAGGGTTGTGTGGTAGGTACAGGCCGCAGTAGGGACAGCAGGTACCCCGTCGTGTCTTCCTCCTCTTCTTCTTGCGCCCTTTCCAGAATGAATTGCAGCGCCGACCGGGAGGGTACATAGTAGCAGTACGCATAGGACACCCAAGTCAGAACGATCAGCGTGGGGACGGCACCTCGGACGCCGTACATGGGGAGAGCTGCAAAAACACAATGACAAAGGGAAAACACAAAGTGACCACCATATGTGCCTCAACATAACATATTACCGTGCCCAGGGGCAGACAAGAGGACGTCGAAGTAAGCGATGCAAACGCGACATGACACACTGAGTCACCGACATTGTCACTCCTTTGTGTAATGAAATCATCGCGATAGGAAGGGCGCAAATGGCATTACAATCTGTTCTTTTGCTAGCGCTTGTCAATGAATAGCTGAGAAGGCGGGCTTTGGGGGGGGGGGACATTTACCCTGACGGGGGAAAATTTCTATTTTAATAGCGCATCATATAATCTCTTCCAGTCTACCTGTTATATGGAGTAATAATCCTGCCCGGCCCTCTATTCACGCAACAGCTAGTAGGCAAAGAGAGAAAGCATTAAAAAGAGATCGGCAGCCGGCTTATAACAGGCGGGGTGAAACATGTTGCTCGGACGGAAGGATACAGGCCTACCGTGGTGCTTGGCGGGACCGGGGTGTCGAGACCTTTCGCCAGGCAAAGACGTAGTGCTGCCTCGGTTGGCTCGCAGCTATCGATTGATCCGGAGAAAAGGTCTCGTGTCTTTTGTACAGTAAGGCACGAGGCTTCGTCCGTGGGCGTTGGAAATAAGCACTAGTAACAACGCTGAGATTCCCCGCCGGATGTCTCCGGTGTATTATAAAATAGGTCTCATTGCCAAAGTGCGCGGCGATGTTCGCGTCATGACAGGGTACCGCTAGCCAGCGCCTGTGCCGAAGGAAACTCTCCCGCTTAGAGGATAAGACCATTTAAAGCTAGAACAAAGTTGACAGGACGGTGCCGAGAAAAGAGAGTGGCGGGGGCATATAAACATTCAGGTGTCACGCCTAGACAGACTTACGTACGGATGTTGGCGGAAATTTCGGAGTTGCTCAATACGGGCCACAATCGCGGTAATTTGTTCATTTTGCGTGCCCATTGAGTCCATAATGCGTCATCTGATTATTAATTCATGTCCGTCCGCCGCCCGTGCAACAGCGAACCGCGGCAGTTGACGTCCCAACATCCCCGAGCTGATTTACAAGTTTTGCGTAGAGGGTATGCCTGAGCCAATAACGGCACCGCGCGCCCGTCTCAATACCTGCCTTAGAAACAAACGTCCTCCGGGACGGCACGTCACTCCTGCTTCTCTTCTATCTACGTCATCTCGTATACAAGGCTTCTTTTTGTCGGCATAGTCTTACAACAAAACAGTTTTTTTCAAAAGGCATGGCTGATAACTTCCTGGACTCGTGACGTAGAACAGATTCATCCAAGGTGAGAAATGACAAGAAAGACCCAACCCACCAAGAATTAGATCATAGAGATTATGACAGGAATCTAAAGATTACAATTATCGCTGCACAAAATCCATTCTTTAGACACACACCTTAAAGCATGTGTAAAGTCACCGTTTCTTTTCTTGTTTGTACCTTTACGAACAGTGATTCAGATACGAGTAGTGTACGGAAGAATGCAATAAGTGATAACGGCAGTAAAATAAATGAGAAACTACAGACCCCTTCCCCTCTCTCTCCCTCTCTCTCTCCCTCTCTCCCCCTCTCTCTCTCCCTCCCTCCCTCCCCCCTCTCTCTCTCCAGACACTGACCACGCCACATTGGCAAGACCGTTCCTTTTATTTCAGCATACTTGACATATATAGTTAGAGAAGCGGTCGGCATTCCTGCTGAAATCCGTCAGACGAGATTTGCTGCATGTATGTAATAGCAACCTCGACGTGCCGAATCGATGAAATCAGGACCTGGTGTGTGTGTGTGTGTGTGTGTGTGTGTGTGTGTGTGTGTGCAGCAAGTACTATTCATAGATAACGACTGAGATAACAGATGACCAGCCAGGAGTAATGTAATTTGTCTAAACGGTTTGATCTGGCCGCACGGAGTAGGTCTTTTTTTCGGGAGTCACGAAATCTAGGACTTGTCTTTGATAGATTACCGTTCGTAAGCTGTAAAAGGCGCTTAGCCTACTTATGCGTCAAACACTGGGAGCTAAGAATCGCCTGCTTCATGGTACGTGACAGTAGACAGACTGACTCGAACGATGTCGTACAAGCCTTTGGGACACATGTATTAAAGCTTAACGTACGGGCGGACCCTCCTGTCCTCTGACTCATCCAGAATTCAGACAAATACCTCATGTACAAAGTACAAAGCCAACAAGAGTTCGGAGATCTCAGACCTCCAGGAAACCATGATGTTAACGAGTCACGGCGTTTTAGGTGGGGTGGAAAGTCTGTCATGCAAAAGGGAAAACTACTCATGCAACGTCAAATACCGTTCTTTGTACAAGTGTCATAACACCAGCTGCCAGCTGTCAAGGAGGTCATAACGAAAAATACCTGTAAAAACAACGAGCCCTACCAGATGTACAAGTGTCACTCTGGGACAGACTGAACCCGACGATATCCACTATAAGCTAATCAAAAGGGTCATGCGGAAACACACACACACACACACACACACATACATACACACTGACATACCAAAAGCAATACCTCCATTTTTCATGGAGGTAAACATATAAACATGCCAAACATTTTCAGGACAGATCATCCAAGATACTGAAGATACTGTTCTTTCGAAAGGAAAAAATACATTAATTTGGATCGCTCACGTAACAAATAAACAAAAAAAAAAACGATCCACATCATCACAACAAGCACAAGGAAAAATAGATTTTATTCAACAGGTCAAAGATGTAAACAGTTGGAACCAGTAATACGTCATGTCTTTGTACAAAGCTGGAGCTACGCCTGTGGAGGAATGGAGATAATCCGTGGGGCATATTCCCTCCCCGTCAGCACTCCGTCAGTATAAACCCGAATAGATTCAGCCGGTTGCCAGACAAATTGCCGTCCACGGCTCTGCCCTAGTACAGAATACACCTGAATGGATCGGTATGCACCGCGCTGCTGCAGCTAGCCGGCTTGTTGGGGATGCATGTCAGAATAAAATGGGTTTTACCTTTTCAGGCGGGATTTTTTACGAGCGATGGAATGTGTGCGAATGCGTAAGTCCGTAAGAAGGATTGTACGTCTTCCTCATTGTGCGGTGGGTCTTGATGACAGAGGGACGGAGGAATCCTCCATTACTTGTAGCTCGATAATGCCTGAGAAGTGGATTTGTAAGAGTGTGCATTGTGGGCGGACTTAATCAGGAATCATTTAAGGCTGTCCAGAGGGGATTAGCTTTCATCAACTCGCGATAACTCGTAAATTATTTACGCCAAGGGCTTGCATGACGAAGGCGTTCCCACAACTCTGTTCAGTGCAAAGGATCACATCACATTTTTCTTTGCTCTGAAATATTCCCTGCCACGCTGAAGTAACATTGAACCTGTTGGAGTAGGTAATCAGCAGTGTCCGCCAAGTTTATGACTAACGAAACAAATAAAATTGTGTGCTGCACTTTACCAAATGGCAAGGATATTTCAGATTATAAAATCTAACAGGTGCTTTATCTGGTAACTAAAATATCAGGCCGTATGAACTGCTTCAATAACATAAGTCCTGTCTATTTGATGGTCGTATCTCCGTGGCACAAACATACCACTACTGACGGATAAATTTGGAGTTGAGTGGTTAGAAGTGATTATTTATCGCATCCATGTAGTTCTGAAATATGATACATTTGTCATGTGTAAAAGTAATTATCATGGTCTTTTATTGAAATTCTTTCTTGATAAAAAATGTGATAGCTCAGAGGTTCCAGGTGCACCACCTGCATAGGTGACAGTGGTTACAGGTGCACCACCTGCGTAGGTGACAGTGGTTACAGGTGCACCGCCTGCGTAGGTGACAGTGGTTACAGGTGCACCGCCTGCGTAGGTGACGGTGGATCCAGGTGCACCACCTGCGTAGTTTTCCTGGACGTGCCTGCCAGTGAAGCACAACAGCTGGTTTATACAAGCTCATTGTGCTGTGTTAGCATTTTTCATATATATATTTTATGGAAAAGTTGAAACCCTATAGAAAACTTAAAACAATTGCTAAGAAATAAGCAGCAACGTATTACTCAGTCAGTCATTTCATACAGTCTAATAAATCAAATTAATTGAGTTAAATCAGTCAGTGAGTCAGTAAGGACATTATTCAGATATCTTTTACCCATCCAAACTAGGCAATCATCCTCCTGTCCACGCCCCAGAGGCCAATTAGCCATGAATCACTGTAGAAATCAGAACTGGCCATGTCCACTCTGGTGAACATCTGAATAAACCTGACATGATCTTGTGGTTAGGGTTGTTGACTCAGAATCCGAAGGTCATGGGTTCGAATCCCTGGCAGACTCCATTGTTGTGTCCTTGGGAAAGGCACTTTACACCTATTTCCTCTCTTGACCCAGGTGTAAATGAGTACCTAACTTCGGTTGGGGACGTTCTCTCTGGAGGTCCCATGTTCAATTAATAGGAGCTACCCCTTGATCCAGTTTAAGATTATACATAATATACTAAGTCTAGTACCTAAATTTCCCCAATGCCACTTGCAATGGAGTAGGGTTGATTAAACTTACTTTGTAAAGATATGACCAGAAAATTCACTTGTGTGTTGCTATGCCTACATTATGTAAGGCTACATTATGTTGCAATTTTATAGCAGGAGGGATTTAGACTCCTGCCTGGCCATATATGTGTTTGACTAAGAATTAAAAGAGACCATATGCGAAGGTAAACATTATGCATTTGCTTTGCAGATGTTACCTTTCTAGGTTAACGTCGAGTTTTACGCCAACCAGGATCACCTTCAAAAGATCCAGACATGGCGGACAGCAAATACCTGACGCCATCGAGGC